TCCTCTTTCAAAGAACAATCATGTTCTCATCCACATTCCTATCATTATAATAGTTTTGATCATGTGCTTCATCTCTTCTAATAGCCAAAGTAGTCATGGTTCTTATTGTATTTGTTGATGATCTTCTTATTTGAGGAAAAAATGGTTTGGTTGGAAGAATATGTGATGTTGAAAGAATAGAAGAAGTTGATGATGATGCCATTTTTAGATTTTTTGTGTCCTTGGAGGATATTGCTTTTTTTCTAATATTTATAGAAGATTATTATCATCTTTAGTCTGTTTCATAAAAAGTTCATACTCTATATATTTTAATTTACGTGAAAACAGAGTACAAAAGTTAAATATACAATTGAAAAAGACTATACGAAAAGTATTACAAGTCAATACAAGCTAATGTAACAAAAATATTATTTTTGACTGGTTCCCAAACGGTAACATCTTCACATAAAATGAGATCAACAGAATATCTGTTTATTCAAAAATAATTTAACTTTAATGAGAGGATCTATAACTACATGAACTTATTTAGCTTATTTGAGATCATAATAACAAAATTCCTTATTAAGTTAAATATTGCCACATAAATCGAGACAAAAAAATGTGTCTTAAGAAATAAGGAAGGTGGCAAAACCGTGTTTTACAAGAAGAAACAGCCAATAATGAGCCAAATTAGTCGCATCATTAAGTTAGCGTGAAGTATATTGATTGCGTGCTCCAAAATGCATCAATTAAGTTATGTTTAGGTTTAATTTATTTATCTGGTTTTAATTTAATATAATATTAAAAAAATATATTACTAAATTCTATGATCAAAAACTAAAGATACGTGATTAAAAAGTTGTTACAAAAAGAAAAATACATTTTTTTGTAGTATAAATATTTTTGATTTTTTTTTTAATTTGACATGTGAAGCAATTTAATAAGGTACTATCATTTTTTATGAGGTTAGTAATCAATAGTAATTGTATTAGGGATTTATCTATAAATAATATATAATTATGTAATTTTCTTTTATACTGTCAATATATAAAACTTAAACTCGATTTGTGTCTTTGCTAGGGGGTGAAACATTTGAATTAACTCTCAAATAATTAGTCACACTAGCTAATACCTGCCTTCTAGCCTTCTTTCTTATTTTTAATTATTCAAATTGTTTATTATAAGCATTTTATACAAAATTAAAATTAATTTTAGGGATTTTAACGATCAAACTCCATGCACAAATTTCCCATTATCATCCTATATATGTTCAAACAAATATAATAAGCTTCTAGATTAGAGTTTCACTATTTCCAGTGTTATACGTTAATTAAAACAACTTTTTTTAATCCAATTCTCACGTTTTAAAATAGTGTCTTTTTTTTCTAGAAACTTTTTTTTTTGTACCATAATTTAGATATGGTCAAAATAATTATACTGATTCTAGAAATATATGCATAGACTAGTATAATTGTTCATGTTCTTATGATTAGTGTGTCCTAAGACCTTGTCAAAAAAAGAAAAATAAGTGGAAGAACTTGTTAATTATTTAATCATTTGATAATTATATTTTTTTAAAATTTATTTGTTTCTTTAGTTCGTTTTAAAAAAAAAAGTTTCTTTTGTGTCTTTATAAACTCTTTCATTTTTTATTTTTCACGCGACATGTTATTTAAGACTATAAAATTAAATAAATAAATAAATAATATATTTTATTTATTTTTAATTTCAGATTATGAGATTCAAAAAATTTATATAACACAACCATAGATTTTTGAAGTCACATATATAACTCTTCTTTTTAACGATTATAGATGCACCTTTCTTAATCAGAAGTTTCAGATTTACGTCTTGGGTGTGAAAAAATCTTGATATGGAGCGCTATCCTCTGAATAGGGTAGGGAATAGGGCCCTACCCGACACGAATTCATATTAATCAAACTCTAATACGAATATCATATACTAAATAAAAAATATAAAAAAGAAGGTTGTAGATGCACCTGCAGTGTATCAGTGCTGCATATCAATTTAAGGGACTTAATTTTATTTAATGTGTTATAATCTTTGGGTTGACTTTTGATGATTTGATGAGGAAATCACTATCTTGGAATGATGTGTTCTAATTTTAAAATTTTATAGTTATACCTTCTGATAGTCATATTTTTATTACATGTCTTTAAATAAATGTTCTTAAAAATAATAATAATAATTATTATTATATATGAGTATTATTTTTCGTTCACTTTTATTTGTCATGTTTGGATTCAGCACAATCATTAAAAAATGTAATTGATATGACTTTTTTAGTACACTGTCTCTATTAATTGATATTTAGTACTATTAGATCATGAAAAATAATTTAAAAAATCTTGGTATGTTAAAAATGACAAGTAACAAGTGAAAATCTTTTTTGAAATCTCGACAAATAAAAGTAAACAGAGAGGGAGTACTAATTAAAAAGATAATTTCATTAAAAAATAATCATATTAATCATTATTTTTTAAAGACATGTAAGATTCTAAATAGACAAATAAAAAAAAATGAAATAAAAAAAAATACACATCTAATTAAAAATATTTTAAAATATATATTTAATCAATAAGGATCGAGTAATATGAAACGGATTCAATTCCTCAATTCAATAGTGAAAGAAAAAAAAACGCGCACCAATCAAGTTGGCTGCTAGTTTTTTTTCACGCGGCTATATATGCTTCACGCCTTATTGCTAAAAGACTTTAATACCCTCACCAACATCTATAAATACATATATATCTAAGTTTAAACAAAATTCAAAACTCATTCCTCAACAAAAAAAAATCAAACAAAATGTCAATCTCAATATCAACTTCTTCTCTACTTCTTCCTTCACAGTTTTCACCAAAAAGGTCATCAAGAGCTTCGAGAAGAACTACGATGATGGCAATAAGAAGAGAAGCACATGATCAGAACTACAACTCTAATGATTCTAGTCGTGTAGACGAGAACTTAATAGTCCTTCGAAAGAGAATCCATGAGATGGAGATGATAGAGAAGAATTACGAGCCTCCTACTGAATGGATGAATTGGGAGAAGAGTCTTTACATGGATTACGATTCGAATATTTGTGAGTTAATGGGATTATTGCAAGCCCAATTGATGGATACAAGGCCAAGCTTGGTTTTGGGCATGGTTGGGCTCATTGCATTAAGTGTACCCACTTCAACTGTTGTGGTTTTGTTTCATTTGTTAGAGTTGGCAAAAAGGATTTTGGCTAATGGACTACATATTACTTAAATAACCTCCTTCGAGGCATGCAACAGCTAGCCTGGACACCACGATAAAAAATATCTTTCATGGGATCTTTTTAAGGCTAGTTTTCCATGTTGAAGTCTAAAGTTCTTTTTATATGTACGTACATTGATACTACAAGCATTAATTAGGATTTAAAAAAAAACTCTATTTTTTTCATTCTTTATTCAAATATTGTATTTGTATGTGTAAGCTCTACCTGGTTTAGGCATTACTAAGACATCTATTTGTTATATATATAGTTAGAATAAGAATTTTTATAATAATATTGTTTGTATAGCTGAATAAATCTCTTTGAAACAACTTTTCTTTTCTAATATTAACTATCTGGTATTCAATATTTAATTACTCCGATTTATTTAAATTAGTATTGTATATGACACATTTTAAGAAGGAAACATTATAATTACTAGGAGTATTCTTCCTATTATTCCTCGGACTCGCACTCTAGACCTTTGTTCAAGGATGTCGCACCACCCTTCTTTAGTGTTTGAATACACAAGAGACTTCAATGTAAAAAAGAAAAAAAAAATACCTATAAAAGATTTTATTTCATATAAGTTTTGTCAAACATAAAAACAAAAATCGCTAAAATACATAAAATACTTCAATCGATGCTCTTCTATGAAAAGTATATAAATAAATATTTTTACCTCGTAAAACTAGAATATTTACCTATTAACACAACAACAAACACCATCATCCTGACCAAAAATAAGACTGGGTATACATAGAGCCACAAAATAATCCAAACGCTTGCATTTTTTGCTACAATCTCGATTACTTGTACATGTCCCTACTAATTTGCCACATATATCACTTGAATCATTCACCTGATTTTCTACATTAAAAAAATAAAATAAAAAAGAGTCACAATCAAAGAAAATTTTTAAAAAATATTTATGCATCATTAAGAATTTTTAATTATATATATATATTGTCAAATAAAAACATGTTAAAATATTGATATCGTAATAATTACCTTTGGCTTGACAAAGAAGAAGAGAAAATAAAATAAAAAGAGCAGCAATTTGATGTTTGTATGATGCCATTTTTAATATTATTTTTGGGTATAATATTTGTGCTCTTTTGTCACCAAAATTCTATGAAAAATAATGTGATTAAATTGAACCTAGTTGTGATGAATTTATAAGAATGTAGGGTCGAAATTTTAGTAACTTTTTTTTTTATACCATGAATACAACATCACTATACTTTTTTAAAAAGGAAAAATATTTAAATAATGTGTTAGTTTAAAGTGTAATTTTCCTTCTATGATAAATTCTATAATTTATCATAACGAATTTACTTATCTCCAAATATGGTGCAGATCTTTTGATTAAACAAGGTAAATAATAGAGCTTTTGATTTGCCGTCAAACTTGACTTTTTTTAATTAAAATCGAGAGATTTATTATGTCGATTTCACATGCAATAATATAAAATTTTCTTTTCTTACAATGATACATGTCAATAATAAATTGATATATTTCGATAAATAAATATAGCTTTTTAGTTTAGCTAGAATGATATTTTTTCTCAAAAAAAACTATAGTGTTCCGTTCTTCTTCTCACATCTATATCACATAAAGTTATTATTTTTACTAAACATATAAAAAGACGATTGAGCATTCCATGACGATTAATATGTCTTTATTAAACACAAAAAATAGAAATCACCAAGCCTAAAATTGAAGGATGAAATATGGCAATGGCTTTGTTAAGCTACAAAATTTATTTGGTAATATAGGATATGAATGATTCAACTTCCTTGGTTGCCACACCTCCAGGGCTAAAGGAACTCTTGATCTTATTGCTCAACTCCACCGCCCTCTTTCGCATCTCTTCTCCTTCTGTTGTATCCATCAAAACTTTGATAGATTTTTCGATTGAATCAGATGTCACTAACTCATCCTTATGAGTCCAATTACAAAGTGTTCCAATTTTTAGAACTTTAGTTACAAGGACAGCATTATAGGGTTGGTCCCACTCATTTGGCCAAGCTATTATTGGAACTCCCATACTAATGCTCTCCATACAAGAATTCCACCCGCAATGACTTAAAAATCCACCAGTAGACGGATGCTCCAATATTTCCAATTGGGGCACCCAATTTCTCACCATCATTCCTCTTCCTTTCACCCTTTCTTCGAACCCTTGTGGTAATTCAATCGTGTTATCATTATCATTATTATTACTATGATCCCCTTTTCCTATTACCCAAATAAATCTTTGATTACACTTTTCTAGACCAAATGCAAGCTCATTGAGTTGCTCTTGTGATAATTTAGTCCCCGTACCAAACGAAACGTATATTACTGAATTAACATCTTGATTGTCAAGAAATTCAAGACATTCATGACTAGGAGGAGCCTTATCATGATGTGATTGTAACAACATATGAAGTGGACCAAGTGCCCATAAGGGCTTCTTGCTTTTTGCATTAGCAAGTAAATCTAAGTACTTACCTTCAACTTCTCTAGATGAAATCATGAATTCTCCTGAATTGAAATCCCACTCATATAAATCTTTTTCAAATATTTCCATACCTGGTGGAAAAGAACTATCCATAGCTGGAAACTCTTCATGCATTTGCTTAAGCAACTTGTCACCATCATCACCAACATCAACAACAATACTTTGTCGAAGCAGAGAGTATTTACTTATAGCAGAACCTGAGTGAAAAATACAAGTCTCAACATTAGGTAATGTATGAACATCACCTAAATAGTCCTTCATTATAGAGTCATAAATTATGACCAATTTCTTTGTATTCATGGAGAGTTCAAGGCATGTTTTCTGAAGAGACTCTGATTGTTTTTCTAACAACTCCATAATCGAAAGCACACGTTCATCATCATAATCTTCTTCCATACTTCCCTTATATTCATCTTGTGAAAGCAAAATGTCATTAAAATGAATATTTTTTGCGATCTCAAAAGATTCACCTTGAAGGCGCGGTTTTAAATCTTTGTTGAATTCAGGAAGGCAAAGTAAGTGTACCGGTATATTATGGACGGCGATGAAACGAGAAAGAAGAAAGAGTTGATTGATATGAGTAAATCTAGAAAATGGCACCATGGCTACAATTATTGAGTTTTTGGTAGTAGCCATTGGAGAGAGAAAAAAAAAATCAATCAAGAAGAAATGAATATTGCTAGTGTTGGCTAAAATATGTGGAGGGATCTTATATAAATCGACCCTCTGTTGAATGATACTCCCTCCGTTCCATTTTATGTGAGGTAGTTTAACTCGGTACGGAGTTTAAGGAAAGAAAGGAAGACTTTTAAAACTTGTGGTCCAAAATGAATGATAGAAATTTGTGTGGCTGTAAATCATTTCATTAAGGGTAAAATAGATATTTTATAGTGAAATTGTTACTTAATATAGAAATGTGTCATTCTTTTTTAGACTGACTAAAAAGGAAAGCAAGTCACATAAATTGGGACAGAGGGAGTAGTTGTTTAATATTGACTTGACACTCAGAAAATGATAGGGGTAATCTTACCAAATCACCCTGATTAAATATAAGACATCTAAATATTCAAATACGAATAGTATTTAATAGCTAGGGTAAAATAAATACAAAATGGTTAATTATTCATTGATTTTATAATCTAGACAAATATTATTAAACATTTCAAGATAATATAATAGACAAGTAAAAATGAACGGAGTGCGTATCTAATTTCTTTTTAGAGACTCATTCATTTAATCCGATCCAATCGACCTGACCCGACATATTTTTATTATTGTCACAATCTGCACGTGCTATACTACTAGCACCCCTTGCCAATTCTATGAGTCTTTATGGCTCTCGTGAGTCGTGATCACTAATATTATTTTTAGAAAAGTGCTAAATGACCAGAAAATTAAAAAAGTTATAATATTTTTTTTATTTTAAAATAAATTAATCTTTTTTTCATTTTTAGTTAAAATGTATTTAAGCTAAAAGGGTAAAAATGTTTAAAAAGTTAAAATAACATAAAAAAACTATCATTCTGGCCAAAAAGATTTTTTCTTATTTTTTATTATTGTCACAATTTGCACGTGCTATACTACTAGCACCCCTTGCCAATTCTATGGTCTTTACAGCTCACGTGAGTCGTGGTCATTAATATTGTGGGATTTCTCTGGCCATGAAAAGCTCATTAAGTTTGAAAATCGAGATAAGTTGATCGTAAAATTAATTTATTGGTATTGGCGCATTAAAGCTTTATATTTAACGATTTATTGGTATGAAAGTGAATTATTTAAAAAAATTATTGGATAAATTGTTAATCAGTAAAGAATTATTCCTTCCGTCCATTTTTAATTGTCATGATTTTCTTTTTTAGAGTCAAACGATAAGAACTTTGACTAACATTTTACGATATATTTTTTCATCATATTGATATGCAAAAATTTGCAATTTATAATACTTTCATATAGTTTTTGAATATCTAATTTTTTTTGTTTAAAATATTAAATTAATATAATCTAATTTCACTTTAAAAATTAGTCAAATTGACTTTCGAAAAGCGTAACATGACAATTAAAAGTGAACAGATGAAGTATCTACTTACATTTTTACCCCTTAATATATTAAATACATTTTATTAACCCTGAATTTCTATTTAATATTTTGATGCTACTTATATGATTTGATACATATTTGTGAGTTAGGAACTTGGAATTCTTATTGGCATACTAGCTAACTATCTGAATCACAATGTACGAGTCTTCACTTCTTGTTGATAAAAATATAGTATGTTTTAGTTTTGAAATATTAAGTACGTTATATTGGTGAATAGTTATAAAATAAATGTTTATGTTCATGCACCCTCAAAACTTAAGTTTATTTTGTATTTCTAGTTGTGATTTACACTACAAAATCACTAGCTTAAGTAGAGCTAAAAAAATTATTTTGTTTGATGGCAGATAATTATATTGATGAGTGAAAGTAAAAAAAAACATGAAATGATTGAGTCAATATATCGCTCATTAACCGTCTGATAATTATCAATGTGATTCTAAATCGATGATATCTTAGTAGTTGATTTACGGATTAGTATATTTAAAAATTAATATTTAACAAGTTAAATTGTTAGACATTATTAGCCATACTATAAGCGGTTTTATTAGCTACTTACATTTTTATTCCTTAGTATATAAAATGCATCTTATTAATCCTAAATCCTTATTTAATATTTTGTCGCTTCTTATATGATTTGATACATAATTGTGAGTTGGATTTCTTATTAGTCTACTAGCATTATAGCAAAAATATTTTTTAGTGGCAATAAATAAATATAAACATTAACAAAAAGTTCTAAAACCTTAATCAGCATTACTAATTGTCATTAGATCCAATGCTATAGACTTTGGCTAGGACATTAACAAAATGTGTTAATTGCCGCTAAAATTACATATTTATAGCGACAATTTATCTATTGACATATATGCAACTTTGTTTGCAAGCCCCACCAGATATACAAATAAAATTTATACAAATACCTAAAATTCTTTATTGCATTTTAAAAAAAATTGTAGTCGCGATTCATAATTATATGAGATTATAGTTGTATTAAATAACACACCAGTATTATTTGCCAATTCACATAATTTTTTCTTATAAACTACTCCTACTAGTCTAATATCAAAATTTGAGTACCGCCCCGCACGAAAAATTAATTCTTATATCAACAAGGATTACTCAAACAAACAATAAAGGAAACATATGGAAATCCTAGTAAAATAAAATTAAGGTAAACTTATGGAAATCCTAGTAATACTCAAACAAGGATTATATATGACGATTTTAAATAAAACAAAAACCTCTCTACAAATTAAAAATTAGAGCCTAATAAATTAATTCCTCCTAATCTCCACAAAATTAACAAGAATGGGAAAGAAGCCAAGAATGTGAAATGTCAATCCGTCAAACTATAATCGGCAACATTGATCGTCCAAATCGTTTCGACTATTGTGTTAATCCATTATTTGGATGCAAAAGGCGAAAAAATAAAAAAATAAAAACTTTATTCCGATTATTCTCAACCTTCATTCCGGCCTCAACCCTTGTCTCGACCTCAATTCGACTTCAGCTTAGAGCATTACAACTATTAAGCATAGTAATATTGTCACATTAAAGAGATTCGAAATTGAGCCGAGTAAGAGAATCAAGAAACTCCGATTTAATAATGAATCGGAATTTCAGTTAAAGTATTCTCCTTTGACTGAAATAGGAATATTGTCCATATGATGAAAAATTGAAAATTTGGGGTTTCAATTCATGATTAAAATTCAAATGTTTGACTGTCAATATTTGAAAGGTGTCACATATAAATTAGGATAAAAATAGTGCTGTAATTCTATGGAGCTTTTAGATATTGTTAATTAAGAGTTATATTATATATACTTCCTTCTTATTAATTAATAGAATGTTTATCCTTCTATTTATAATTTATTATTTTAAGAAGGTTTATTTTGCTTTTATTTTCATATTTATTAAGTATATACCTTCTCTATATCAATTTACATGACACAATTGCAATTTCAAGATTCAACCAGTTATGTATATACATTGTTACATATATGATACTAGATAATGTGGCCCGTGCAGCACGGGCCCAATAATATAAATGGTATGTTTTGGGGCTAATAACTGAGTTTTTGAAGCGATTATTTGCGTGGATAAAGGAATAATTTTTTTTTATCACAAACCTGTACTTTCTTTGACGCTATTTAAGGCATAATAAGACTACCCACATACAACATTTTTGAAATATTTTATGTTGTCAATTATCATGATTTATAGTATTTTTACGCAATTTTTAAATATAAAAAAAATAAAAATAAGACAAATAAATTAAAATGGACCCAATATATGTTATTTTTGTTGTCTCAATTTATGTGACACAAATGAACTTTGGAGAGTCATCCAAATTTTCATAATTTTTTTTAAAATGTTTTAAGTTATTAATTATTGTGATTTATAATATTTTTATGTAACTTTGAAATAATGTACATTACTGGTCACTTTGTCCTAATTTATGTGATATGGATAAAATTACAAAATTAACTCTTTTAAAATGTCTTTCAGATATTTTAAGTTGTTAATTATTATTATTTATAATACTTTTTTGGTAATTTTAAAATGATATGTGTTATTTTTTCTGTCCCAATATATGTGAGCCTGATAGAATTCTGAGAGTCAACGTATTTTATTATATAGCTTTTAAATATTTTAAATTGGTAATTATTGTAATTTTTAATGCTTTTTAAGTCATTTGTAAATGATATATGTTGCTTCCTTGATTGGGACTTTTCCATTTGTGACACATATATATAGATATTTGGTGCCCGTGCCAGCACGGGTCCAATAAATATTAATTTTTTTTGTTTTAATTTATGTGATATAAATAGAATTGGAAGATCAGTCGATTTTTTGTATGTTTTCTTAAAAATATATTTGAAGTTATTAAATTGTTGTGATTTATAGTATTTTTGCGTTAGTTTTGAATAATATAGGTTACTCATGTTTCAATTCACGTGAATAATCATAAATATTTTCAGTTGTTAATTTTTTGTGAATTATAGAAATTTTGACGTTATTTTCAAATAGTACATGTTACTTATTCTATTCCAATTAGTCAACCAAATTTCTTATATGATTTAAAAATATTTTTAATTGCTAATTATTGTGATTTATAGCATCTTTTATGTAACTTTTAATAATATATAATTTGTTCAAATTCATATGACAACAATAAGATTTCAAGAGTCAACGCAATAAAATTTTAAATTTTTTAAAAAGTTGTACCTCTAATATATTTTGTAGCTAAAAATATACTCTCTCCGTCCACTTTGTATTTGTCATGTTGCGCTTTTTTGAAAGTCCATTTGACTAATTTTCAAAGTTAAATCAGATTGTATTAATTCGATATTTAAAAAAAAAATTAAATATGCAAAAATCTATACAAAAAGTACTATAAATTGTTATTTTTTGCCTATGAATATGATGAAAAAACACATTGTAAAATATTAGTTAAAATTCTTATAGTTTTGACTCTTAAAAAGGAAAATCATAACAATTAAAA